CGACACCACGAGCAAAGTATCATGCCCAAATCCAGAGGTCACCGGTTGTGCAACATAAGGAAGGTTCTCCATTTCTCTAGCAGCAGTGGGTTTCGAAACAGACCACGTGACCCTCCAGCTGTATGACCTGGGCAAGTTACTTAACTTCCCTATGCATTATTTTGCCCATCTGTTCAATGGTTCTAACTCAAGTGCACACCTCTCGGGGTTGTTGTGAGTGTTAAATGAGAGATGTCTGGAAAGCAGTTAGCGCAGCGGGACACACACCAAGCTTTCAAAAGTGTCAGCTGGTAGTCATCATAGTAGCTGTGGCCATACGGGGAGGGGGTGTCCCTGTCCAGAATCAAACGCAATCAAACAAACTAAGCTTCAGTAAGCTACATTCCAACTGGACAATCACCTGATATCATCCAGTCCTGTACCAGGCACTCAGACCAGGTAACTGCTTACTGCGCCTTCCACCAGATGGATAGTTCCGTGGGCCTCGGTCACTCCTGTGTCCCAGCATTTTAACGTGGAGAGCAGCATACAGGAGATGGTAATAAATCCTGCAGCCACACAGAACTAGTTCAATATCTGTAAGTACATTTTATCTTGGCTACTAGACTACGAGCTCCTTAAGCGTGAGCATCACGTCTTGCTTTAGTAAAGATTTATTAAATGAGTGATGCAAAAAATACCAAACCGAGAATCAGGTTGTTTAGACCCAGCTCAGTCACTGGGTCATTCTGGAGGATTAGGGAGGGCAGATGATGTTGAAGATGATCCTTGATTTGCGTTTCAGAAGACTGAAATATGGGGCATTTCAGGCAACCCCAGAGAAGTCCCTTAACGCGTCTATGCTTTATTTTTCCCATCTCCGGGATGAGAAGTTTGTACCGTGTGTTGGCCAACGCGTCTTACTCCCTGAAACTGGGTTTGGGTCTTCAGTGCAACATGGCCCTGCAGACGACAGCCATCTGGCTCAGCAGGCCAGCTTACGATATGATAGCACCCCTCATTTGCAGTTTTCCAGCACCACGCAAGGAGTAACTTTGGGCCAGTGCTTAAAACACCCATTTTTGGTCAAATCAGTTCCTTTGCGGAGTGAGGACGCTCCATCACCCAAGCTAGAGCTCTGGTACCCCCAGGCACACCAATGGTAAACTGGGGGCACACTCTGCCCACTAGTCCTGCACCTCCCATGCCAGACCCGCCCAGAGACCTCACCTCCTGCTCATACCACACAGCATACTGCTCACAAGAGATAACCTGGTGCAGAGGGAAAGTTGAACTTGGCCCTTGGCGGGGAGGTGATCACATGACACCGCTCCTCAAGATGTTGTTTGTTTTGGGGTTTGGGTTTTTTGGCAATATATAGTTTGCACAGCCTGAAGGTCCGGGCAGTTTGGCTCAAAGAAAATGCATGCCGTGTGATGCCACAGGGGCTCCACTCAGCAACGGCCCTGCCCAAAACTGTATCAAAACAAAAGTTGTGCAAGAAACAAAGCCCAAATTCAAGGCTTTAGAAATGCACGCAGATCCTGTCAGAATCTGGCTGATGGTCTTGGCTTCTTATGGGTGCACTTTTCTGCGAACCTCGCATTCCTTAATTCACCTAAAAAGTGGGTTCTTTCCCCTACCATTCTCTGAGTGATAGCATGCTGATTTTCCAATGCACCATGTCTCTCTGATGGTCTTAAAAATCTAAGGGAAAGTCTACGTGAGGTGAGAAAAAAAATTCTGCTAAAAGAAGGAACTAAACCAGCTAATTTCGCCTCTTGAGGCTTTCCATCGATTATTTTATTTAATTATTACACAAGTCCACGAAACTGGTACTATCTGTAGCCCATTTTACAGATGAGGAAGCTGAGGTTTCAAAAAGTTACAGAGCGCGCACCAGTTCACAAAGCTAGTGAAAAGTTGGGATTTGAATGTCCGCCAGGGCTCTTAGCCCTTCTGCAAGAGTGCTTCCTTGTGGGGTGTGTTAATCTCTGGAACAAGCCACTTGGAGTCCTTGTGTCATGGACACCCTCCGGCAGTGGCCACAAACCACACTTGGGAATTCAGAGAGGAGTGTGCCTGGACTAGGCCAGGCCGAGGGCCACTCCAAGCTCCTGATCCTGCAACTCTCTTCGGAAGTGGCTTTCACAGAACACAGAAGATGATGCTGCGTGGTGCTCTGTTTGATTCAGAAGGCCCTTCCAGATGTACAATTAAAAGCCACAACATTTTCATTTTTAAACACTTCTCTGCCTCTGAGCTGCTTTCAACGGGAGTGCTGATCCCACAGCATCTCATGCCCGGGACGCCAGCCACCAGCGCTGGCAAAGCGGCTTAAAACCCCTCCTCCTCTTGAGAGGTGCCATAAAAGACATGGCAATGAAAAAGACAAATGACATGAAAACGTCACTTCGGAATTCTACCCAAAGCCCGAAAAGTCAGACCTGAGAGAGCGCTCTCTCGATTCTCCTCCACCGCACCCCGAAAGCAAGTGATAGCTATTCACTGCATCCTTAGAACCAGAAGAAAACTCCCAAGTTCATACTTCAGATGATAATGTCTTGCTGCTCTTGACAGATTCTGAGTCACCAAGTGCTGTACAGGCGAGAACAACTTGCTGACCAATTTTTTTGGGTGTTTGTTTTATTTTCTGTTCAGCCAGGCACAGGGAATTTTCCACCTGACAATTCCTGTTTCTCACTTAAGTTCTTACACCATCTGTGAGCACTGTGCTCAGCAGGGGGAGGACTCCAGGCCAAGGAGGGCTTCCCATCACCAAACCTCAGTTTTCCCATCTGGTTAATGCAAGCCTTTCACCAGATGATTCTGCTAAGGTTCTCAGCTTATCTATGGAATAGAAAGCAGTTTGAGGATTGCCAGCTTCTGAGCCTGGATCTGCTACCAGATTTAAAATCTTTACATAATTTTTTAGTAAAACAAGAGATTTGGCTGAAATTAATAGCACAATGGGCAACGACCAGGGCTGGACAATAACAGAGCAGGACTGGAGTCTGCTGGCGGAGAAATGAGCCTCTCCCGTTCTCAGGGCGCCCCCTCGTGGTCGTTCGACTAAATCCCGACGGAATGTTCAGAGTTTCTGCAAATAAAGGGAAAGACACCCACCAAAAGAGAAAGGCAGGCTCCCGTCTACTGATGCAATCCCTTTCACTCTAACCTCGTCTGTGGATCAGACCAGCGAGACGAACGCCTGACAGGAAGCCCCAGTGAAACTCGGAAAGGTGTCTGCCATAGACAAGATTTCATTCTTTCAAACAGTTGGCGGCAGTTGCCCAGCATTCAGGCTTCTGTGTCCCCTGGCAGATCCCAGACACACCCTTGCCACTCAACCCCTCTCAAGCTCACATCCTCAACCTGCAGCTCCGACCGCGTCTGTTTTTCATTATTACGCTTTCCAACTTCCCAGCGCGATTCTTCAACAGCTATTAAGACAACACGAGCAAGGAGCTAGGCTTAGTTCTTGCTTTTTCAACATCCAGCCTGGGGAATATCACCTCAGAAGAAAAGCATGAATGAAGTGCACGTTTCTCAGCCTCTTCTTCCGCAGACCTGAAAGTCTGTTCCTCAAAGGACATCTCTACAACCATCTCCTCTTTAAAATGCTCAACCTACAAAAAAATGGCACCTGCCCAGAGTGAATTCTTAACTACTTGCTGGCTATCAGATTTGTTTATCGGAGACCGCTTTAAAAATACAATGTACAATGTCTCAAATTTCCAATTAATCTATGAACGACTTCTTTTTTAAGCTCTCGAATACAGTTGGATCAACCCAAACAGTGAAGCTTAGGATGAGGGAGTTATCCAGGTGTCCAAATATTTGAGAATTCGGGGCTAAACCTTCTGATTGGGGCCCCATTTTCTCCATAGAACGGTCCCTGTACAGATTGAAAAGAAAATTACCAACATCAACCTACCTACCACTTCATTCAACAGTTCATTTTGCTTTTACCCTGTGGTCATTCGTTAAGTTTATAAGCAACCCTGGGCCCCGAAATACCCCAAAAGTGCACACGAGGCATACCATAATTAGTTCCTGACTTTGGCCCTAAATTGATTAAAATACATCTGATATGCTTCAAATCAAAGAACCATGTTAATTTTCTGCCACACACCACACAAAATCTTTCTGCAACAGTCAGTCACTTTGAACCCAACCCTCTGGCCACAAGCAGTGTGGATTTCAAGGGCCTGTTCCCCAGAAAGGAAAAGGACAACAAGCCAAGTTGGGGACACGCAGAGACCCCAAGGTACTCCAACCGCTTCCAAATGGGGCTGGGACCCTGGCAGGGTTTCAGCTGTCACAAAGAGTGGGGCAGCTGGCCCAGTCCCCTAAAGCAATTCAGCAGCCCTGCGACCAGGACCTGAAAGGCAGTGGGGTCGGCTGCAATTCAGCATCTGCGTGGCTACCCATGCCCTGGGCATTTCAGTCCTCCCCGAAGCGGAGGTGAACTGTCACAACCCTCAGGCATGAAGTAGTCTTTATTTTTGCGCCCTAACCTTCTCTCTTAAAAAACAGGCAGGAATCCACCCTCCCTTGCAACTACAGCAGCACGGGGGTGATGGGGAGAGGAGTGGGAGGGTGGGGGTCGCCTTCACGTACAGGACACGGGACTCCGGGGACCAGCTCCCTGCTGAGGATGTGGGTCTGTTCGGAGTTAGAGCAATAAAGCATTCCAGGGCTTGGTCTGAATGCGTGCCCGCGAGGGAGACCTCCACGGTCCCAACGTTTGCAAAGTGTTTGCAAATCATAAACACTACTTTGCTGCTGGGAGAAAAACCCCCAAAATATGCGCAGACAGGATGTAACAAGTGTTTCGAGAGAGAGACACGCCTGAGTCACGGGGAGCTGGGGAGAGAGTGAGGAGTCTGTCTGGGGGTTCCCGGGAAGCCCCTCTCGGACAAGAGAGTCTCAGAGCCCCAGCCCCCCGGCCGGCGCGCCCTCGGTCCGCAGCCCCGTCTGGCCCTCGCCCCGGGGGGGGGAGGGGTTCCCCCACTCACCACTCGACCCGAAAACCTCTCGGTGGCCCTCTTGACTTTGCCATAGGTGCCTTTGCCCAGGGTCTCCTGCAGCTCGTAGCGGTGCTTCAAGTTGTGCTTGTGGTGATGCCGCTTCACCCCGTGCGGCTTCCTGGGCTCCGGGGCCGCCGCCGCCGCCGCCGCGGGGGCTGCGGTGGCCCCCGCCACCACCTCCGGGGGAGAGCCCGGAGCCCCCGGCCGCAAGTCGGGGCCGTCCCCGGCCGCGGGAGCAGCGGCCCCCTCCATGTCGGAACGCAGGGCGAGCCGGGCTGGAGAGGGCAGGACTGGGCACAGCGTTCGCGGTGTCGGGGTCCCCGCCGAGGAAGCCGGGGCGCGCTCAAGGTCGCCCCCGCAGCATTGGGGAGGCGGCCCGATCCCGCTCGGGCTGCGGCTCGGTCACTGGCGGCGGCGCGGACTGCACATCTGGCGCCCCCGGCGCGCACGGTCCGCGCACCGCCCCCCGGCCGCGGCGAGCTGCGGAGCGTCGGGCGAGGTGGCGGCGGTGGCAGGGGAGGCGGCGGTGTTTGCAGGAGGGAGGGGAGAGGGGTGGCTCCGAGCGCAGGCGGGGGAG